TTACCTGGATAAAACAATAATCATCAAATGAACAGCAGACAAGGGATTCAAAATATCTTTCTACAAAGGTGGGGGACAGTGGGAAGGAATGTTTTTCAGACACAGGGCCCATTTCATTCCTTGCACTACGACCCACATACCCACACTGTGTTGAGGTTGTTGTGCTGGCTACAATTTATTAGCAAGGCTGAAGAGAGGAATGAATTATGGTGTAAACTCTTCTCTACATCCCTGAGAGTAAGATGAACAGCACTGGCCTGAAAATGCAGCAAAGGAGTTAGACACAGGGAGTAATCAGCTCATGGGAATAACAGCAGAGATGAATGCCTGCAGTGTTCAACTCTTCTTGGTGGTGATTTTTAACATCTGGACAAACAAATATGTCAGCACGGAGCTCTTGCAGCCAGAAGGTGGATAAGAAGTTTGCTTGTCCTCCCTCTCAGCCTTGTTTTGATGGGTCTGAAGGCTGATGTCTGCCCACAGCAGCCAGTGGTGGTTGGAGAATTTCTTGTAGTTTCACTACTACTGTTATCCAGGTTGTATTATCTTGACCAATACTTAGCTGAACTACAATTGTACTTTCAGTGTCAGGGTAGAGATAAAATCTTCCCCCATTTCCTTTAGTAGGAGCAGCATGGCACTTCACTGGACCTTGATGTTTTTTCTTTCTCTGTCTCGTCAACCACACATTCCTTTGCCTCCCCTTATTTGTCTTCTCCCTTCTTGTACTGTTGCAGTTATTTCTCATCCTATAGAAGTTATAAAGCTACTTCGCTTGAAGGTGCTTGTGTTTTGCATGTTTGGTCCCCTAAAAAACTCCATTATTCCTCTCTGTCCTGGTGTGGTGAAAAACATTGAAGATAGAACCTAAAGCTGTGAAGCCCATTTTGAAGAACATAAACCTCTCTAATCTCCCTCTGCATGAACAGGACTAAGATTATTCAGTGAATCACAGCACCGAGCCCATTAATTCTGGTTAATCTCTGGGCCTGATTCTTTCACTTATCCTTATAGGTAGTGACGAGGCCTGCTTTTTAAGCCACGTTATGATCGTGTCATTCAAAGAATACCAGAAGAAAAAAGAAAATAGATGTAACAGAGATAAAGTCAGATATTTTAGAATCAAACTTGAAACAGTTTCCTTAGACAATAGGAATCCTCTCATCCAGCACTTGTATTGTTATTTTATGTATAGATAGCGGCCAGCCACAGGTAGCCTAACAGAAAACATATTTCACCTCTGTTTGTTATGCTTCTTGCACTTGGGAGAGTTGCAGTTGCTTTTTTACTAACTGGACTGTTCTTTCCCTGGGTTTACAAACCTTGTTAGGCTTAGAATTAGCTCCTCTGAAAAATTAATGCTCTGCCAAAGATTATAAAGGATAAGTTTAAATAGTAGTGAGTGTCAATTTTCATCATAGACAGTTAGTAAAGACATATGAGAACATTCACAAGCATCTTTGCATAATTTCATTATTAGTTCTATTCCTCAGGATGTGAAAAAACAAGAACCACTAGGATTAAGGGGATAAGGAACTGAAATGTTTGATTATGACAAAATCCATTCTTTAAAAACAGGCTGAAGAGCAACAATTGCTGCTCAGGCTTACCATTGATTAGTGTGCTCTCACCAAAACAGAAGTGCAACAGACTTGATGACAGTGCTTTTTCTGCTATAAGACCAAAGATAAGAACAGAAAATAATAATAATAAAAAATTATATAAGATGGATTTATTATTAAAATATTTATTTGGTAGTTAAGTAGCACAGTGTCTTAACAGATTCACAGAAATCTTTGAGATCTTAAACAGCAAAATTATGCTGCAAGAGAGATCAGTTATTTAGAGCAGCCACAGAAATTTGTTGCTACCAGAAAGCAGAATGATATAGCATATCACACAAAACCATTTGTTCTCATGAACTGTCATACTCCACCTGAATCTGAAATACAGGGCTGAATTTGGTCCAAAGTCTGAGAGTCTTTTGCAAGCAAAATGCAAAGCCTGATCCTGCAGATTTTATTTCATAACATTGTGTTCATTACAAAAAGCAGTCCATCATAGTTTATTAGGCCTACCAGTTTCAAATAATTTAATTGCAGAATATGGTACTAGACAGCCATGGAGAATAAAACAAAAAGAGAAATAATAAATAAATAAATGAGGATATACAGCTAAGGAATGGGATATTAATGGTAAAGAGGCAAATAGGAAGTCCTTGTATGCTATTATAGGCCTGTTGTAGTGCCAGAGGAGAAAAAGGATTTCTGCAGAACACAATGGCCGCAGCATGGACAAAGTGCAGTCTGAAGAGTAGAGAGGAAGCTAAGGTCAGTATGAAAGACTACAGTTTTCATGACAAATAAATGTATGATCCATGATTTGCAGCAGGTGTAAACTGCCCCATCCCAACTGACGTGCTGGCAAGATGAGAAGACGCCCTGCCTTATTTTCCACAGTTACCTAATGAAGAAAGCAGCACCCAGCCTGGCCCTCTATTATTCATGCAGCACTTTAGCAGTGTTTGTTCATTCTCGAAGGTCTTACTTCTTTCAGATAATTTCAGCTGAATCTCATCGATCTATATTTAGAAATAAAATGAGATTAATGCCAGCCGGTACATTGGTTTCCCAGAATTTACAAGGTAGTTTACAATGGGTGCTGAAGTCACAATGCTCATCACCCTATCTCCACTGAACAAAATACAGACAGGGCTGCTGCTTGCACGTATCTGGAGGCATTGCACACAAGAATAAATGATAGCTGTTAGAGTGTAATAAGAATGAAGCCAGCTGCTGAAGGGACCATTAAACGTGTCACAGCCAGTGCTTCAGAGATTCCTTATGGTTGTTCATGCTGATTGTGTAAGCTGCAGATTCTGTAGCTCCCATGGGGCACAGTGTGAAGGGCAGCTGTGTGCTGGCTCTGGAAGGGTTGACTCTGTGATATACAATGCTCTTTCCCCCCTTGTTAGTTACGATAATTTACTAAGTACACTGGGAATCAAACAGCAAAATATGTGGGAAACCACAGCATCATTAATGGCTTATGAGCGGATTACAATTGTTTAGTCCTGGCCCAAAAAGAAACAGATACTTTATTTTACTGTTTCAAAAACTGGCACTGGTCCCATCAAGAGCACAGTATCAGACATTCAAGAATGCAAGGGGGGTTACAGGAGAGCAAAGAGGGACTTGTGAATTCCTCCTGTGTAAAGGACAATTGGCCCAATTATCCATTAAGTAAAACTTCTAATGATTTACATGAAGAAATTGATCTTGAAGCAGGTATCAGGTCTTAGTAAAATATCCATTGCAATTTTACCTACATGACTGAAAGGAAAAGGCCAGTGTTTGGCTAGAACAGCTTGCTGCAGGGCTGCATGTTTGCCAAGGCTGCAGACGGCAGATTACAGGAGTGCATAGCACGAGTAGGAAGAAAGGATGAGGGTTCACTGCTTTTAGTAGCACTGAGATGTGTTCTGAATGGAAGTAACCATGAAATAATGATTTCAGTAGGCAAGACCTCTTGCTCTTTACCGTTACAGATGAGAGACGTGAATGTATTCTTGCTTAAAACATGTCCAGCCTTTTTCTTCTGCCTTTATCCATGATTCCTACTGAGGCGGTGGAGCTCTCTATTATTTTGGCTTCAAGGCTAAAAAAAAAAAAAAAGGAAAAATGAAAATCACCAATTGAAAAGAAAAAATATCAAGTCTTTTGAACTATACCCCACCTGCTAAGAACAAAAGAAGGTCTTGTATATTTAAGACTAAACAAAAAACATTGTTACAACAAATTCAAATAATGGTGCGAATAATGGTGAGCATAGATAGAGAAGTTCCTCAGAAATCTCAGGTCCACAGGCACAACAGGGTGTTGGAGAAGCGAACCTGCTCTTGTACAGTGCTGTGGAGCATCCTTCACTTCTCTTCTCATCTGCAGGCACTGAGCAGATACCAGCTGGCATGATCTGGCCTTTACATTCCCATCTTTTGTGGAATGTGTAAGAAAGTAGAAGCCACACACATCTGTACTAAGAACTCAATTTTAATCTCAGTCACAGGAACATACTAGCTTGCACTGACACAGCTGGCCTTTGCTGAGAGCAGGATACCATTTAAGATGAAAACAAGCTCTTTGCCTAGCAAAATATCTACAAAGATTTCATTTTATTTTTTAACGGTTTTGTCTATACGCTTTCAGGCTCAGCAACACAGCACAAAAGATCTTAGACAGGAAAACATAAAAAGAGTGTTCTTTTTTGTTGTTTGTTTTTTAAATGGTTACAGAACAGGCTATTTTATAGATGCCTGTGTAATTTTTGAGTTGATGGTTACTTTCACTTACAAGCTATTTAGAATTTTTGCTTTGTCATCAGTTCAATTTCTAAAAATAAATGAATAAAGTAATTTTTAAAACGTGTATCTTGCCACAAGACAATGGACATGTGCCTTCTATTCACATGTATAGCTCTACAAAAAACTCTACATTGAAGCCAATGCCGGGACAGGCTTCACCTACATTTAATCTTACACGCTGAATATGTAGTTTGATAGCAATAGAATTACTCAGTGCATAACACTAAAGATCAATAAATCTGCAGTGTCCAGGTCTTGAATTAATAGTTTACTGTCTGGCTGAGCTACAAGTGCAGAAAAGCGATGGCACGGCTCAGAGTAAATATTTAATGGGACAGCCAGCTCTCCTGGGGAGGCCTGTGGAGAACCGCCGGGGCTGGGGGCACACCGAGCAGCGGAGCGGGCCCCCTCGGGCGTTTTCATTGTATTTTATTATTTATTTGGCGCTTTGTTTTGAACACGGCCTGGCTTGGCTTTGTTTTGTTTTGTTTTGAGCCCGGCCTGGCCTCGGGGAGGAGCCTGCTGCAGGCAGGGCGCTGTGCGCGGTCACCACGGCGACAGGGACGTGGCGAGCCGAGGGAGGGACGAGGGAAGGAGACGGCCCCTTCCTCCTCCTCCTCCTCCTCCTCCTCCTCCTCCTCCTCCTCTTCCTCCTCCTCCGGCCGGGGCCGGGGCCGGGGCTCGGAGGCTGCGGATGAGGCGGGCGAGGGCGGTGCTGGCGTGCTGCCTGCTGCTGGGGCCGGCCTTCCCCCTCGTCCTGCTGCTGCTCTGACATGAGCCGCGGCCGGGGGCCGGCCGGCCGGAGCCGCAGGGAGCCCCGCTCCGCTGCCACAGCCACAGCCCCCGGCGGGGGACGATGAGGAGCCCGGGCGGGCTGAGATGGGAGAGAGCATGTCCAAGCGGCTGAAGCTGCAGCTGGGCGGCGAGGCGGAGATGGAGGAGCGGGCTTTCACCAACCCCTACGCCGACTACCAGCCGCCGGCGGCGGAGGGCGCCCCGCGGGACAAGGCGGCGCCGGGGGACGAGCCCCTGCCCTTCGGCACCGACGGCAAGGTGAGGCGGCGGGGCTGGAGCCACAGCGGGCAAGGAGAGAGCCACAGCGCGGAGCTCCTCGCTGCCTGCAGAGCCCCGAGCAGCCGCTCCGTGCTGCATCATCCTCCTGCCAGGGGAAGCACCGCATGGTGACACTGCTGGGCGTGCACATGGGCAGGGAGCAAAAACAACTTCACCTCGACTCACTTGCAGCTTGGGGGTCCGTGGTGATGCACGGCTGTCAGAGTAGGCTCATGAAGCAGGGTAGTGCTCATCATTACAAAAATAAGCAGGGCTCCTCGCTCGGGGTCAGGGTGAGGCAGTTACAGGTCTCTGAAGTAGGAGCAGGGGCTGAAGTTCATAAAGTTGTGTGTGGCTAAGCCAGGTGCACAAAAAGGGTCGCTTTGGGGGTCTGCTAGACCTCACCGCAGCTGTCAGAAGTAGAACTTGGCACTGGAAGAGGTTTAAAAAGCAAGGGTAGATGCGGAAGTAAAATCTGAATTGCTTTTACAGAAATCCCAGGTAGCATGCTCAGTGTTGATTTAAAACTTTTTTTTTTTTTCCCCAAAAGACAGTTATGGTTTATTTATTTATTTGTATCTGGGTTATTATATATAAAAAAAAAAACAAAAACAAAAAAACAACAAACAAGCACGTATGATGATGAGTTGAAGTGTGAAGGAGGAGGGGGGGGGCTTTGCTGTGTACAAAGGTGTGAAGCTCCTGTGGAAAAAAAACCACAACAACCCATCTTCTATACTGCATTAAAGCAGCGTAACTACAGCTACTTTCAGTAGGCTTACTCTGATTTTTTGCAACTGTACGTTTCACTGGAGAAGGCAGGTCTGTGCCTACGTTTTCTTTTCTTTCTGCATCTGCAGAATCTGAGGAATTGTCCTACGTATTACAGAGTTAGATCATGGCTATCAGTGTGTCACTATTCATGTGTAGTTGTACTGTTGGTAGTGTTTGCATATTGTCAGTCCTAATGCCATCCTGACTTTTTTGGGACTTCTTGATGAGTATTTTAAGGTGCTCTTTTTTATTTTGTTTTGCTTTGCTTTGCTTTTTGCATTTAACAGGCTCCAGTGCTGTCAGAGAAACATCTTAGCCTGCCTAAAGGCCCTGTGAAGGTAAAAGGACTTTACACAGGGTAGGGAGTGTGTTCTGTAAACTGCTCTACACAGTAGCACAGGTTTCTTAAAAATTAAAGTGGCTTTCAGAAGCCCTCAGTGCATTGCGTCTTTTTTTTTTTTTTTTTCCCTCCCATCTGCTGCTCTGTGTGATGGTGAGAATTGAGTGACTCACGTAATGACAGCCAGAAGGATGCGGGGTTCTGCTGTTGTCATGGAAGGCGATGCATTATTAATCCCTCCATTTGATTTCATAAGCTGCCACGGTTGCCATCGAAAATTTCTAAATAAAATAAAAGGACAAGAAGCTCTTCAGATTGTTGTCTGAAATGTGAGACAATTGGGACAGGGTGCTGCATGTGGAGGTGTGTGCGTGCTGCTTGGATGTGTGAGGTATGGTGCAGGAAGCCGGAGTGCATGGGAACAGCAGAAGAACAACCAAGGCTTTGGCCTGCTGATTTGCAATCGTGAGAGTAGTTGCAGTAATAATGACTCTTTCAATTAAATACGCATATATCCTGTAACTCTTTTTATTTTGATACAGACCCCATAGAGATACTTTAGCCTGGAAAAGTACCTATAGATGTCAGAGTGGTCTAAAAGTTTAAAAAATAATGTAAATAGTTGGGGGCAGGTAGAGAAATAAATAGCCATAAACTCAGAACAAAGCATATTCCCTACTTCCTGGGGAAAATCAGTTTGTCTTTTAAGGTTTATTTAATTTTTAATGTATTGTAAGTGCTTATTGGGGAAGGTATTAATATTTGAAAAGCAGATGTTCTGATATTTTCCCTGCATCCTAGGTAAGTCTAGTTATAAACCCACCCGTTCTTAATTACAGGGTATTATAATACTACAACATTAGGGTATGGGTCCCTGCAGTCTGGGACCCAAAGAGTAATTCTTGTGAGAAGCGTTGTGCTTTGCTTTCCCTTTCCAGCTGAACTGGAGCAGAAGCAACCTTCACCTTCAGTTAATGTCAAGCCTTGTGGGTGTTGTGTCGCCCTTTAGCTGCGGGCTGGGGACTGCAGGTGGGTAAGGCTTTTGCAAAGCAGGGTTGGTGACCAGTTGTCCTGACTCAGAATTCATTTATCAAAACTTCTTTTGTAGCAGAGGGCTTCAAAGCTGTTGTGGGTTTCCTGGGAAGGGGAACGGTGGGGAAGGCTCGCTGGTGAGGGGTTTGTTTGAGGACAGGTCTGTCCTGGCTCGTTGGGTGGCCCACCAGCAGCAGCCTCAGATTATGCACCATCCTCTGAGCCAGCACAGCTCTCTGCCTACATCCATAGCCTGGTCAGAGGGGATTTGGGAGCCACCTCCAGTCTGCCTGCAGGCTGTCTTAGCTGGTCACCCAGGGGAAGGTGGAAGCAAACCAGTGCCCAGGCAACCTGGTACAGGTGCCATGTAAGTGCAAGAAGAGCACCCCTGACATAAGGACTTTATCACACCCTTGTCCTCAATTGAAAATTGTCTGGATTTGTTCTGGAATCACAGGGGTGGTCTTGGACAGCATGGAAATTTCATTCAGACTTCATGCTAGGTCACTAGGAAGCCCAAGCAGTAACTCCTTTTTTGGCCAATTCCTTCTTAATAAGCTTTTTTTCTCACTTATCGTAAGGTTTAAGAATATTAGTAAAAGGTTGTGTGTTTTGACAAACCTATACAATGAGGTTTTGCAGGGAGCCTGTTTTAAAGCTCACAATGCTTTCTGGGAAAAGCTATTGCTTAATGGGGATAGGGAATATTTCCTTAGGTTATCTTTTGGGTGATTGAGTGGTGCTCAGTTTCCTGGTGTTTTCTCAATAACCTGTTCTGATAATTCATTTCTCTGGCTTTTCAGTCTCCATCCTCTTGTAAAATTTCCAATAAAAACAAAATCCTACACCACAGCACGCTGCATTTGTTGGAAGGCCTCTCTGGGCCTTTCAGTTGTCACGCTGAGAGCACCAAGCTCTCTCTGTTGTGGGACTGACTCTGCAACCACTTACACTAGTGGGAATCATAACATTTGTTGCAACACGGGCAAAATCAAACCTCTAGAGCCAATAAATGTTTCTTCCCACCTTCTTGTTGTGGGATCTGCATTTTCTGAGATTGCCACTCTTTTCACCATTTTCTGGCATCCCATGTCAAGTGTGTGCTATTTTAATAGAGACTACAAATATATATATTAACATATACATTAATCATGTAATAATCACATTCCTGTTTAAGAAAAGTTTGCTTTTCTTCTTGGGGCTCTTGGTCAAAATTCAGCGTGAGAATCCCTTTTATTGCACTTCATTGTGCATTGCTACCTCAAAAACATCTGATGAAGTTGTCTCACATCTATCCAGTCTTCACCAGTTTCTAGTTTTATCTCACAGACCTGTTTGTTAACGAGTTGTTACTCTGGCTAGTGGCACAAGCAAGTGTAATAATAGGTACCTTTTTGTGTGTGTGTGTGTGTGAAGATAAATGAAACTTTAATATATACAATATTTGGGTCTGACCACACAACATCAATGTACTGTCAGGTTCATTATGTGGAATATACCTGCTGTCTATGTATCAAAATAATTTAGGCAGTATTGGGAGAGGTTTTAGCTTTTTTCCAGCTTGTGGACCACCTAAAAATGTCCCAGTGAGGGTGAAGACATCTGTGTAGTGAGTAAATATAAATCCTACTTGCAGGATTTATTACACACAACAGTTTTTGATCTCTGTGCCTTTCAAGAAGGCATGTCTATCAAGAAGGCAAGGCTGTTGTTTGCCTACAGCTATTGTTTTTCTTTTTCTCCATCCCCTATTTTTCCTTTTTTTTTCTCCTTACTATCATATTTATGGAACTAGATGCCAGATCACTGAAAAAACAGAGCAATGTGTTCTACAGACAGCAGCATTTCAAGTAATTTTTCAGCATGTGGTTTTGCAGAACTGGCATTTATTTCTGGAAGAACCTAATTGAGAAACAGCAGGGACCTGTGCTGAACTGTTTCAGGGATTGGATGAGGAGAATTCTTGGTATCTGGTATTTTCAGAGCAGGAGAGTTGCTCTTGGAGCTGTAGCAGTTGCTTGTTTTAGGTTAAAAAGAAAGCAAAACTTGGTTTTCTGTGCAAAAAGGCAGGCCACTCCCCAGCAGAACATGGGATCCTGCTGGCATTCCTTCGGGGCTGCTCTTGCAGGAGCCCCGTGGAGGTGAGCGTGAGATTTCATCCCACGTCAAGAAACCTGTGCACACAGCGTGCAAAACCTGGCTCCCTTACAGGCAGTGGCAAAGTTCCCATTGATTTCAGCAATGCCAGGATTTCACGTTTCAGTACTCTGACTTTTTATTTTTTTTTCCCCACTCTCCCCTATCAGTGACTGTTGTGCCCCTTGTGTAGTCTTCTTTATCAGTTTGGTTTTTGAATGAATCCTTGCTGGAGCTCTATTTTCTTCCTTGTGAAATGCTCCTCGCCTGAAAGGCAGCCCAGCACCATTTTGTCTCCTGTTCTACACATCACCAACATTAACGTCACTTCTCTCTGAAATGCCTCTTCTGTTTCATCTCCGTTCGGATCAGGTTAGCCAGGAGTGTTTTGCTTGTTCAGGAGGTAGCACCCTGCCCGTAGACCATCTCTTCTTCTCCTGAGACCATCTCCCATCCTGTGTTATAAAGTCACCTCCTTCTTCAGTCTACTCTTGCACATAGCATCGGTCCTACAAAAGGTAACTGAGCAAAATGAAACAGCTAATGATAAAATATATATATATATCAGTAGAAAGGCAGTGTTTTTGGGAGCCACTGGTGGCAAGAAAAACATGTATTGGCAACTCGTTAGGAAGCTGAGCTCAGTTCTGTGTCTTGCTACGCGTCTGCACAAGTTACTTGGCATAGATGTGGCACGATGCAAATAAATACTGAGAGGTGCTTTTGAAAAACACATCAGCATCTAAAAGTATCTTTGAAAAAAACAAACGAAATAACTCACCCTGCATCTGTCAGACCAGAGTATTACTTATTTCTGTGCACAAAAGGAGTGCCATGAGCTCTCACAGTTGCACTGTCAGACTTAACGTAAGCAGTGTGATATCTAGTCCAAATGTGCATGCTTTCAAAACTTGCAAGACTTTTAAGTTCCAGGCTCCTCTTCCCTTCCTGAAATTGTAGTACAAGCTGCATACATTGCAGCCGCGTGTTGCCTCATCTGCTCTTGGTGCTGCTTGCTTGGAAAATCGCAGCTGCAAAGCTGGATGTGATCGTAATGGGGAGGTGGTTCAGTAAGAATCGGTACGTTATTCTGATGTCAACTGCAAGTGACATTTTTTAGGGGATTTTTATTCACATCCTGGTGTGTGTGTGTGTAATTTTTGAGATGGGTTTAAAAAAAAGATCACTTAAGTTCTTTTTAGGAACTTTGCAAATGGAAGAAAGCAAACAGGGGACGGAGGTAATCATGCTGTCAAGGACAGCAAAATTTGGACACTGTCATTAGTGCCAAAGCTGAGTGGGGTTTTATATACCTACATTCCTTACGTTCTTTGTTGGCTTCAGAAGGCTTTGCATTGGGATGTAGGTTGGCATGCTGCCTCGCTGCAATGGAAACAATGATGTGGTTCAAATAAATCACAAAACAATTAATTTGCGACACCAACATGTTTGTATTTTTCTGCAGTGCTTTTGTTTCATGCTGATAACGAGCCTTTCTTGTTACCATAAGCAATGTGGCTCAGGGTTGTGATGGGTATTACTGGGGATTAGTGCTCATGTTTTGTGTTTTTGTTGATCTAAAACTTGAGCAGTGGTTGGGGTGGTAGTGCTTGTTCTTCCTTCAGCAGCGGAGGAGTAACGTTGAATTCCTGGAGAGAGATGTTTCTACTTGTTAAAGAAACTCTTCTGCCCCTGTTATCACCCAGTCTGTTGTGAACCAGGAGTAAGTGTCGTACAGGATATCAGAGGCCAGCTATCCTGGTTTTTGTTTTTCCAAACAAGAGTCACCGGCAGAAAAGGCTGAATGCCAGCTGGAATCATCCTCCTGAAACGAATATGCTCCTCGTGAAAATCAATCTGTGCTCAACACGAGCTAGTGCGCTTCGTGCTCAGCTGTAATGCTGCCATAAGATTCCTTGAAGGAGGTTTATAAATCTTAAAAACCCACCTTTCAACGTTCAGTTCTTTGTGTAATTAATTTGTTCTGTGACACGTAAGCATCTGTTAAAAGCTTACAGTGGGATCCTACCAGATGAACAGCGACAGCGCTCTGTTGTTAGAGCTTCAGAGCAAAAAGAAAAGATAAAAAATGCAAGCAGTGGTGGAGGCGTAGGTAGCTGGGGAAAACTTTGCTGCCACGTGTGATCTATTCACACTGGCACGAGCTTGGGAGTAGCTTTGTTTGGGCTGATAAATGATTATAATTGTAATAAAAAAAAAATCCTTTCATCTTTCCCTTTCCAAGTGCTGAATCAAGATAGGTAAGTCGCAGATCCCTTTTTAGAGAGGGAGGTGCCAGCCTGAGCTGTACAACTTCTGTGGGACTGAGGTTTCAAACAAAGCAGGACCCAGGTGTCCCGATATCCTAGTCCTCTCCTTCTGCCTCTAAGTAGTTGGATTAAAAAAAAAAATAATAACCTGATTGAGTAGCAGCAGGTGTCTTTGTCAGAACGAAAAGCCTGCACGAGATGTGCAGTAGGTACACAAACCCCGTCTTTGTTCACTCTTGTCGGATACACTGAGTAGTGAGCCTGGGTGCATTTGTGCTGGTTTCCTCACGCTGCTTTGCCATATGCCGTGGCACGGCTGTCTGGGGGAGGAGAGATGCCCTGCGCTCGGGAGAGGTTTTACTCTGTGCTGAGACTTCGCTCAACTGGCTAAGAGGCTTGAGGGGATGACGCTGTGTGTGCGCAGTATGGTTTCCTAGCAAAAAGGTGCTTGATGCCACAGTAAGGCCAAAGAGCACGTGCCAGGTGCTCACCATGTTTGTGTCCTGCTTTTGGAGTTACTGGGGAAGGTCGAGGGAGCTTTTGCTCATCCTTAGGGCAGGTGAGAGGGGTAAGTGTGTGACATGAGTTATAATGGCACAACTTCCCTCTCCCTCCCTATCTTGCCATCATAACATAGATTTGGGCCCTAGAGATTTCTGAGTGTTTCAGAGGACCTGTACGATCCCTGCTATCTTTCCTATTTCCACATCTGTCAAGTGGATGTTTGAATTCACTGCTTGCTATTTGAAGTTGCACTCCGAACAAGAGTGCTTTGAGTAATTGGTTGCAGAGCAGCATTTGGGATCTGCCTTTTGACTGAACCCTTCCCTGTTGGGACGTGCTGTAATCAAACAAGAGCTTGCCTTCCTAACGAGATAGCTTCTCCTTCTCTAGTGGGAAACCGTGGCTGCAGATGGGCTGAATGCTAAACCAAGCCTTCGCAAATCCGACTCGTTTTAGCTGGTGCTTGGGAGCAGACCGAGGCAGCAAGTGGTGGATGGAGGTGGAGCGCTGTTCAGAAAGCAGTAGTGGGTGCTCAACGCGAGCTGACAAGCAGCCAAACTGCATCATGCCGTTTTTCTGGATGCTGAGACCATTGTGTTGGGACCTGATCTGGGAGGTGGGAGAGCTCTGCGGGCTCTCATGTTGCTAGCAAGTTTCCTTCTACCTGTTTCTGCCTGCATAACTAAGACATGAATGCCAACCGTTGTATGCTTAGGTGTTTCTGTAGAGGGTAGAGAAAGCAAATTGAGGAAATATTTCTTGGTGTCATGAAGTTTTTGTACATCATCAGAATGATGCAAATATCCAATAATGATAAAGCTTTTCTTACAGCCCATGAAGGGAAGGAGTGTTTTTTTTTTTCCTTTTTTTTTTCAGGCTCTACTTATTAAAAACTCTATATTTGAGTTAATAGGAAAAGTTTATCAGTAGGTCATACAATTTATAACATATGTTCATGATAATACATTCTTGAGTGTTTTCCTAGATGTTCCCACTGCAAATGTAACCTCGTCCTCTGAAGGAACTTCTTGAACATGCTTTCCTGTAGTAGTTATTAGGGCAATAAATTCTAGTTAATTGACTATTTCCATGTCCCACAGTCTTAAGGGAATAGTCAGTAAAGCATCTTAGGTTTAATAAGAGAGGAAATGGTGGCAGTGATATAGTCTCCTGTGTAATATTTCATACATAGTATCTGTAAACTTTTCTTGCTCAAAAGTAAAAGCAAGCAATGAATAAGATCAAAGGTTTGTTTCCTCAGCTTCATGCCGAAGGCAAAATAGATGAGCTGAAGCTGCCAAGCTGCTTTTATCCATCTTCTTTGTGTCTAGCTTATTCTTTTAGGTAGTCATTCTTAAATAGTTTGCTGCTTTTAACAACCTCCTCTCATGATAAAGTATGCCAATCCTAATAGCGTTTTGGTGAGAGGAGAGATCAAGGAGCGAAAGGAAGGGCATTTTATGGCTCTTAGATGACTTGCCTGGTGGTCGCAGACTGGAAATCAAGCAGAGCCTTGGATTTAAAAAGAAAATGTGAATACATCATGGATGATGTGATTAAGCACATCATTTAAGATGATGGTTTGATCTTGCCTTGGCTGTCTCAAATATGAGCATCTATTTTTCTTTATCTGTTTCCTTGACACTGCTGATTGCTGCAGATAGTATTTTTTTTTTTTTCCCAAACAAAGAAGTGGAGCAGCTGGCTTCTTGGATTCATTCCTTTCCTGGCTCACTCCCTTTTCTCCTTTCCTTCTTTCAGGTCAGCGCTCAGTTCACAAAACGGATCCAGACCAAAATCAAGGACCTGCTGCAGCAAATGGAGGAAGGGCTGAAGACAGCAGATCCACATGACTGCTCTGCCTACACTGGCTGGACTGGTGAGAAAGCTGGAATGTGAATGTTTCATAAATGTTGTGTTTTCATTCAAGGAGCTTCAGATAAGGGAGCAGCAGAAGTACTATGATACAGTCATTTATATGAGTTGTATTAACTCTGGAACCTTGGTCACTGTTGTCTGGAAATGACTTTCACTGACTTCAGTGGACAAGGGATCTCATTACAGAGAGATAATATGCTTTTGTATATTAAGATCTGTGTCCTGCAAAAGGAGTGGATTTTTAAGGCTATTTCTTTTGGGTTACCTCTTTTTTTTTTCTTTTTTTTTTTTTTTAAAGGATTTCTTAAAATTTATTTTTTTTTTTGTTCAACTGACTTAACAGTTAGTTAGCAGTTCTCTAATGATTATCCTCTAATCATTGAGGAGAGGGTGCTCTGTGCCCAGATGCCTTAAAACCTGCAGTATGGGTAGTTCTGCTTGTTCTGTCTGTACAAAAAAGGTAAAATGAGTGTGCAAGGAGGAGGAGTATGGAGGTAGAGTTGCAAGATTTGTGATGTATATGAAGATAAACAGGCATGTGCTGGTTATCACAAGGCACCGTGATTCCTGGAGCTTTGCATCAGCATTACAGATGCTGTCCAAGTGTGAATGAACCCTCTGATCCTTTAGGCAGAGCATGCAGTTGTCAAGCCTGACACAGACACTGCTCTTCAAGCTGCCAAAACGCTTTTCCATCTTGGCCTCCTAAGTGCCACTCTGCTCCTCACAATGGCATATTCTATTCCTGCTCTGTCTAGCTCACGCTTCAGACATACTCCTGCTTTTAGCACAGCGTATTTGAAAAGTGCCATGAGCAGATCTGGTCTGTTATCCTTGTGTCAGGGAGGGGGGGAAGCAGCCTCGAAAAAAAAAAACAGGCTTTGCCCATGCTTAGCCTCAATTCTGGCAGTGGAAGTGTAAAATATCTTCGCTTTCCTTCTTCTTGATATTTCAGCGCAGATGGTGCGGTGGGCGGGTGGGTGGGGAAGTTTTGGACAACTCAGATTGAAGCGATAGATGCGTTTCAAGGTCTAAAAGCAAGCGGGTGCAGAGGAGCTGAAGGGGTGGGCATCCTGGCAGCAACACTGCAAATCGGCTCCCGGGGAGCAGCGCTCTGACACCGTGACTGACAACACAAGTCGCAGCCGATGAAGCAGAGCGTGCTGAAAATGAGTCATAAGCTAAAAGTAACACAGCCATCATTAGCTGAAACGAGAAGATAGATGAACAAGCAACACAGCCTAATGAGAGTGGTGTTTTTCCATCCTGCAGAAGGATAACCGACATCTACTCCAAGCTGTAAACTCCTTTCAAGGCTTCTCTGGAGTTAACTGAATAAAAATACTTAAATGATCTAGATTTTTAAATACTGTCTCTCAAACTTCTTGCAGCATTTTACTTGAGTGTGCAAATCAGAAAGTAAAAGCAGTGCTGAAAGGAACAGTCCTGCTTGTTACGTACCAAGTCTAGACGAACCTGGCTGGCAGTGAACAGTCCTGAGCATTGGCTTGTATCTTATGAAGCATCTTTAAAATCTTGAAGTGTGTGTTGTTAAAGCCCATGTTAGAGTCCATCTTGCTTATGCAAGTACTGTTTGTACAAGCCAGAAGTCTTGGAGGAGCTGGTTTGAGGGGTTTGCACCAGAAAGGGTTGGATGAGCTGGGTCTTAGGGCTACCTTCTGACCACCCCTCGATCAAACCCAAGTATCCGCACAGCTGTTGCAAGATAAAAAAGAGTTGTGGAAATCCCAGACAGGCCAGCAGCCTCAGAGGCAACATTTTCTTGTTGCTGCTTTGGCAGGAATGATAAGTAGACCACAAGCTTCTGTGCCACTGAATCGACCTAACCAAGCTCAGCAGCAGACCTCTTGGAGCCATCTGTAAAAGCCTGTTCAAGGCTGATCTGGAGAACATTTTAGGGTGCTCCACCACTCTTGTGGTGCCATTCTTCTCATATTCCTCAGAAGGTCTTTCTGTGGAGCTAAGTGGTTCTGGCTTGCTCCCCACTTTAGCTATGGCACAGAAGAATGCTCTGCCTGCTCAGAAGAAAGAGGAATTTGTGGTCAAGAAGTAATTTTTTTTTTGCTCGTGTATGTGCAGTTGGCCAACAAACAGCTTCTTAGATGCATTTGTTTCACTTTCTTAAATCTACATCATTGCTATTTGTAGGGTTGGGTTTTGTTTTGTTTTCAAGGAAAACTGTATAATGAGCATAATGGAGTGAAGCTTGATTTAACCTTCAGCATTCTCCTAGCATGTGTTTGCCTTATGGTTTTTGCAAGCTAGCTTAAATTGTAGAAGCTCATAATCTTATTGCAAAACACTTAGAATGGTTATAAAGAACTTGGAAAGTTGAAGCCAAGAACTCATCAAAAGACCCTTTTAAAAATCAAATGGGAAATAAGTCATTTCTAGTGTGTGATAGATGAGTATTTTAAACCAAGTGTACTTGGTTGTATGCATGCTTGTTAGCCTAAAATTCTTCATCCATGGTGATTTCTTCACCAAACTTTAGTGCTCGTCTCATGAGCGTTCTTCATTCTCTGCAAAGTGAGAGTCTACCATTGGGCTTCAGTCTAATACATTTATATGGTTGTCACAATTGAAACAGAAATGTAATTAAGATAGACTGATGCCTTCCTTTTGCGTAAGTTAGGATCTAAGCTGACATCCTTTAATTGACCAAATACCTCTTCATATTTGAATTACTAGTTCAGAGGCACTAAAGATGGGGGCGTGGTGTACTCAGAAGGAAAAGTAAATGAGTCTCTCTTATTCATGTGTTTTTGTTTTTGTTTTTTTAAATTTTTTTTCCCAGGCATTGCCCTCTTATATCTCCAACTGTACCGTGTCACAAAAAACCAGAGCCATTTGCAGCGATCTCTTGATTATGTGAAGAGAATCCTTCGCAACCTGAATGGCAGAAGAGTTACTTTTCTCTGTGGTGATGCGGGGCCACTGGCAGTGGGTGCAGTGGTTTATCACAAGCTGAAAAATGACAGTGAATCTAAAGAATGTGTTACCAGGTGAGTGGTTGGTCGTGGAAAAAGCCATGCCCTTCTTTTATAGAGTGCATTAATTCAGTAAAATTAGCCAGTGAAGTTGTGGAAGACAGGTTTAAAAAGTGGAGGCACTTTTTCCCCTGATGTATCTTCAGCAGAATACAGAATAGGCTCTATTACTATGAAAGCTGACTTACACTTGATTGGTGATTAGCAGGTTAGCAAGTCTTCTGTTGCTATAAGAACAGGATGGCATGAGCATATCTGTAGTGCATGCACATTCTGACTTTGTCATAGTAAAGTGACATTTAACAAAAGTCATACACTTGTCAGCAGCAGCTTGTACAATATGTGATGCTTCCTGGACAGCACAGGACTTAATTACAGACACACAACAAAACATGTACACTGCAGGGAAACACCCAGGCAGAAACATAGGATATTTGATATGTACCAAAAATTTAATCAAAAAAAAAAAAAAGAGGTATTTGCTAAACTGTCATAGGCAAGGACTCTAATGAGGTCAGATCATATGAAGGGTAGCCTGAAAAAACTCCATCTCCTTCTCAAAGTAGTCTAAATGTAACAAATGTCTTGAGAAATCCCATTTGGAGGTAGAGCTTCCTTAGAGAACTGGATGTCCTTTTGCTGATGTGGAGATGACAGAGATTCCAGTCGAGGACTGGTATCACTGAAGCCCTCTGGGGTTTGCATTCAACACCAGCAATGCACCTGGTAACAGTCTAACAGCATACCTTGCACAGCCAGAATTTGCAGGATAGCTTCATGTCAATATCTCCATTTGGGTAGATAATTGATCTCTTTCTGGTCTAGAGTCCTAGTCTGATTAATATCAGTTGCTGCTCCTGAGCAAGTATTTCAGTCTTGAAAGGGGTAGAAGGTTTGTTTTTTGCTTTTAGAACTGGCATTATCTTGGGCATGACCCTTTGGATGCAGCTAGGGAAGCAGTGTTGCTGTAAGGCATGAAGCATGAGTACAGCAGAATAAGATTAGCAATAAATCTTCTAGAATCACCTCTGCTTGGAAAGTCATTTCCAGGAGGAGGACTGAAAAAGGAGGTTAGTTTGATTATTTGCTCCTTTTTATTCTTCCCTTTTTTTGTTGTTGTTTACGAATGCATTCAGAACATGATCTGAGGGGTACATTATGGATATCAGTATAGTATATGATTGCATTTCTGACTTTTTACTTTGTAGCTGTCTGGTTGTAGGATGATTTGAATAATAAAATTTGAATAATAAAACTTAACAGAGGACATTTTAAAGGAAAGTAATTTAATTCTGAGTCCAAAAAGTAGTTTCAAAAAAGGAGTGATAATACAAAGCTCTCTTTTTGTGAATGCCTTTTCCCTGATGTTAAGTAGTGATGGTCTAAACAGGACAATGGCGTCAGTGGTTTTGTTCCAGCATGATGCTAACATTTCTGTCAAGTAATAGCTCCTGGGGGGGATATGGGAATTGAATTTTCTCTTAATCCAGATTGTCTTCCTCCCTCCCCAAATTTAAATTCTGGCCATCTCTGTGGTTTCATCTAATTTCCAGTTTCATCAGAAAAGATAGGAAGAGACAGGTCCAGGGAATGGGCAGGAAAACAATTTCTCTGCTCCTCCTCAATTCTAATGTAGACTGGTGGAGTAATAGCAGGGAGTCTCTTTGGAACAAACGAGAGTTGCAGTGGCCAGCTCAAGTGTGTTTTCTCCCCCCCCCCACTACTAAATGCAAGCAAAACACTTCTGCATAATAGCAATGCCCTTTCTAAATCTATCTTTTAAGCATGTGGAACTATGTGTGTCTAAAGAGGGGAATGCTGAGTGTTTTTCTCTCTCAAACATCTCAAATTAAGGGTCCTTGTTGAGGTGAAATACCAGGCTGCAGGAAGCTTTCATCATTCTTCCCATTAACGTGTAGCTACTTTTATAGTTTAAGCGGCACTTTTGATTAATTCAGATCCTTCTATATGTAAAGCTGGCAGCCAGTTTTGCTGGGGATGACAGAAGGGAAGTTACGGGGCTTCGGCACTCCTACTGCTTCTGGTTTGATGGCTTATGCAGTGCATAGTCCGGTACAGTCTCTAGAGAGCATGCTCTATTTATCTCTTCTACCATTTTTGTCTGATGCAGGTTGTTGCAGCTCCAAAGGACAGTCACAAGCACAGATGCTGAGCTTCCAGATGAGCTGCTTTACGGCAGAGCAGGATACCTGTATGCCTTGCTGTACCTGAATACTGAAATTGGTCCAGACACTGTCCCACAGTCTGTTATCAAAGAGGTAGGACGCTTCTCTCTCCAGTGCCACAGCATCAGTGCAGTTGAACTGGAATCACACCTTCATGTAATTCAAGGGATTAAGAGGGGGAGGCTGCAGAGGAGAGGAACCTACAACTGCAGGCTCAGTCTCATCCTTCATTCCACTCTGTTACCCCTTTCCTCTTGCCCAGTTGGGACTGAAACAGAGGCCAATGCAGGTGGGTCCACAGCTGGCCATTTAAATGCATCTAACATGAAAGTGGTGGAGCACTTGAGGGTGAGAAATTGTTATGGAAAACCTTAACACAGAAGTGTGGAAGTGTTTTTAAGTGAAAAGAGGAGAACTTAGTGTGGGGAAGGTGCATGACTGTTCTGCAGATCCAGAACCAGAGAAAATAGGCCTGGAAAAGAGTGATAAGTAGAATCTAATATTCAATTTCTTTTCCTAAAAATACAGGTGATTCTGTCATTCAGGAGAAACTCCCTTTCTACCTCAATACTCATATTCAAAGGAATTGAATATCACAGTCCAATAGTTATTTGCTGTGTGATTTTAGCCATGACAAAACAAAACTCTCTGAATCAAAGCAAGTGAGATGGAAGAAGTGTGTTTTCCTTCTTAGGTAATAGATGCCATTATTGAGTCGGGGAAGAACTTCTCGAAGGAGGAGCGTAAAACAGAGCGTTGCCCTCTCTTGTATCAGTGGCACAGGAAGCAATACGTTGGAGCGGCCCATGGGGTGGCTGGGATCTACTACATGCTTATGCAGGTAAGAGTGTCTTCTGCGGGCTGGGACAAAACTCCAGTCACGCCTTGTTTTGCATCAGAAGATCTCTTCAGCTTTAATGCACAAGCAGTGCAAGGTTGTGGTAGGTCAGAGGCTCACAGCTGGGGGTCAGACTGCAGCCCAGAACTGTGCAGAGATGCTAGCCAAGGCCCCAGGAGCAGAGGACGACTCACATATCCTAGTGTTCAGCACTGTGACTCCTCTAACGTTGCTGCCAGGCCTCCAGCTGAGGGCTCAGCTATCTGCAGCTTACTCCAGTCTGTCAGCAGGGCGTTCTGTTTGCATGATGAAGATGTACATCCTTGTCCCACAGTATTTTATACCATCTGCTTGTGAATATGAGTGAGTTGCATTTCAGAGCCCCAGAGGTCTAGAAGCTGAAGTTTCCTGTCCTCAAGAAAGTCAGGTGTCTTCCCTCATCCTCATCTTCATACCCATCAGAAGTAATCTGATGCCTACAGTCGGGCTAGCTAAATATTAATTTACTCACCACCCATTAGTCCTATTTTCATTTATTTTCTGTTTTTCAATGAGTGCATCACTGATGCCTTTTATCCTTCTGCCTTCCATGTTCTTCATGTTTTCCCCTGTGATTTTTTTTCCCCCTCATTATTTTGAAGTTCCTGGAAAAACTGTCCTTAATCACGCATTCATCTTCAATATGCTTTTCTTACTTTTATACTCTCGTATTCCTTCTTTTCCCCTTCTCTGCTCAAAAAATCTAATGTTCCTGATTGTGTTTATGACACCTGCTCTCCTCTTCCTGTTCTGAGACTCTTCTCTTTTGTATGCCTCCTATTTCCAACATTTATATCCATTCCCTCCCTGCTCTGAGATTCTCAAATCAGATTATGATGTTTTTCAAAACAGAGCTGTATGTTTTCTAATGCTGTACAATCTGAAAACAGAGCCTTATGTTTCATTACAGAAGATGGCCACAGAGCTGCAAAATCTGTATCATACCTTTCTTTGGTTTTGAAAGGTGCCGCCAGTCTATGTACCTTTGTAAACGGTAATTTTCTTACCAGCTCATGCAGAAATTACTTTCCTTCAGGCAAGTGGAAAGAAAGTACATCCTCTCCTCACAGCCTAGAGGTGTATACAAATGTTCATTGCAGAAGTGACTGAGATGGTATTAGCTGTTGCCACTTCTGTCAGCCATTCCTCATTTGCAAAAGATGTGGTGACTTTTCCCCATCTGTTTCAGATTAGCTCACACCACTTCCACCAGTAGCTCAGGCTAAAGCAGCTGACTTTGCTGTGGAAGCAGCTACTGCTCCGCTGCCTGGGGTCCATGTCTTAACATCACTACAGCTGTTTTCTGCAGTGGCCATCTGACTGGGGTCTCAGGATGCTCTAATTTACTATGTCCTTATCTTCACTTTCTGATGCCTTTGACAGGGTGGTCCACACCCTTCCAGTTACCTCATCTTCTCTGGCTTCCTTTTTTCTTCACTAGATTTTTCTGAGGAACTTCTGTTCCTTTAAAGAAGTCTCTTTAAATGCTCCATCCTTCATTTGCTATTCGAGGTTGAAACCAGAAATAGTTGTGCAGTGCTTTTTGGTTTAAGCAGAAGCTACTCTGTCTACATGGGAAAATCGTAAATATCTTTTCCTTTACATATAATTGCTGCTTTTCCGAATTACCACAAAGCCATTGTTTATGCAGCATTAGATTACTGTCTTTTCACTGTACATTAAACATTGTGAGTCATACAGGATTGAGTCATCTGCTGCAGAAGATGGCACACTGGAGTCCATCCTTCCCCCCACCCCTCCTACACCATTACTCTGTATTTTCAGCAAAGAATTCACGAGATGGTTTGTTGGGTGGTTGTTTGATAACAAAGAAGGCGTCCAGCATAGCAGCAGAGATGTGGAAGCCACCGATCATTTCTATTTAACACCTTTATGAGGGGACACGTATTGCAGAATCTGCTTGCAGAAGACTGCTGGAAGAATAAGAGCTCAACAGTGTTAAATTATTCCTCCAGGATGCAGAGGGGGATATTCTGATACTCTAGCAAGGGAGTCTCTAGTCCTAGCCTCTTTCACTAACACCGAGACAAAGATGTCTGTCTATCATTGCTCTTGGCCAGATAGTCAGGACGCATACCACGAGGTTATTTGATTGCTGTTGACGGTTCAGTGCTGAAAACCTCAGCAGTTTAGGAGAAGGGACACACTTGTGCTGAGGTCTTCATGGAAGCACAAGTAGAGAAGGAAGGTGTGTAAAGATCTCTGCTCTTCTTGGATTTATCTCCCAAGGACAAGCACAAGCTCAGTGAAGCCCTGGGCTACGCTTGCCTTGCACAGCTCAAGACTGAATAGCAGTTATTGCTGGTGCCTGCCTTTGCTTTCTGCTGCAGGTTTCCCCTGTGAAATGAGACTCCTGAAACAGGGACCTTTTCATAACGCGAAGGTCAGTGTCTGTGTGAGGGCTGATCAAGATGTTCTTCATGAAAAGCTGATCTATATTCAGATCTACTTGCAGTTAGCAGCATGACGGTGACTGTTCCGCTCAGAAGAGTGCAGAGGTGGAGTTTGCTGTAGGGAGCCGGTGGGTAGGAGCTCAGCAGAGATTTCCAAGCTGAGGTAAAGTAGAGGCTTTTGGCTGTTTCAGGTTACAAAAAACGCAGCTATTGAAAATATTCCTTCATTTAGCTGTAGGACTGTGAATGGTAGCAGCATGCTCACCCATTGAATGCAAATGTGCTGGAGCTGGTAGGAAACAGTAAAATTGTAAGACATAATTAGCAAAGTTATAAAAAAAAAAAAATGCTAAAAAGCTCAGTTATTAGTTTCTGTAGTCTCCAGTTTCTGCAGTTGTTCCCACGGCGTGCTGGAATTCCATAAATCCTGTAGGCTGTGTAAAAATAGAGAGCTTTGTTATGAAAATACTGTGAAATAGGCTGGTAGAGGAAGGAATATCAACTAAGAACCCAACAGATACACAGATTCTAAACTTTTAATTGCAGGGAGTGCACAGTTTGATGGATGTATTTGCCTCTTGGAAAGGACATAAGCTAAATAGAAGAAATGGAAGAGAAAAACTGAGAAGAGCAATCTAAGCATAAGTGTGTAGAGCAAAGACATTTAGTTACTTTGCGAAGAAGCTGTTGCTTTTGACATTAGAAATGCTGATTTATAGTCCGTAGCTTCAGGGAGTTTTGTTTACGATGGAAAACATTATCAAACTTTGCTAGGTATGCCACTACCTACACTCTTCTTCATTTATTGGGAAATAGGACAGGTTTGTCTACATTAGCTATTTTTAAAACGTTTAACCAGGTGTGTTTTAAGAATGTATTATAAGCAGCTAATTTATAAAACTGCCTTTCTCCTGAAGTGCTTTCTCTATATGAAGGTGGAGGCCTGGGAGCCTTGGGGTCTGCGTTCTGTTCTCAGTTCTTCCCAAGTCTTTCTGTGTCACCTCAAGTAAGGCGGGTAGCAACTTGGTGCCCCAGTTTCTTTGTCTCTACAGCTGCTGTAACACACTCTTCATAAGGGTATTGCGAGCAGACATTAATTAAATCTGTGTGAAGTGACGGAAAGTATTTGGGATATAGAGCACATATGTAGGGTACTTGAAAATAGGACACGTAATGAAGTGTTGGTACGTGATTTGTTACTACTCCTGTGGTTTTGTTTCTTCTTTCTGTGTCGTCTTCAGCCGATTGCAAACGTGGATCAGGAGACCCTGACAGAGCTGGTGAAGCCGAGCATTGACTATGTTCGTCATAAAAAATTCCGATCTGGGAACTACCCATCCTCACTGAGCAACGAGACCGACAGATTGGTTCACTGGTGCCACGGTGCCCCCGGAGTCATCCACATGCTCATGCAAGCTTATAAGGTGAATCATTCTGTGTTTATACAGACCTGTATTTTTACAGACACCTCTATGCAGGCCTGTTAGATTGTAAGGCTTGCATTTTAAGTCTTTCTAGATCCGTGCTTTCAAACAAGAACCCTAGGCTAGGCACCTAAACATCTCAAAATACTTGCATAAGGAAGTTTGTAAAATTAGTGGGTAAAATTGCTTCTCAGGGTGTAAGTAGTTACTAGACTTCAGGTTTTCTTGGAAAAGGGCCATGCATTTAAACGACTTGATATCAGAGTCCTGGTTCTGAGAACATTGACCTAAATTCTTTGAAACTTTATCCTAGGTGCTCTAAGAATTATGTTGGTTTTAAAAAATGAAGGTTCATGTGTCTTGCTAAAGAATGTCTTCCATAAATTACTCCATTATTAAGATAAAGTACTGGAGAACTTTGTCAGAACAAAGACTACAGGCCCCTTACAGGGCATAAATATGACCTCCGAGCTACCGTGAGCTACTGTTTGCTCCTCTCCATCCTTAAATAGGTTTGCTATCTCTCTGGAGTTGTGCACTTTTGATTTGCATAACATTTGAAAGCGTGCCATTTAATTACATTTATGCAAATTAATTCCTTCTCTTGACAGCCCTCCTTGGCAGATTCCCTGGTCGGCCTCAGGGTGGGCTGATGAAAAACAGGTTTGGTTTATGGAATAATTACTTGTGCAGCTACCTGAAAAGTGAACTATAAATCTCTTAGAGTGCTGCTGAATGCAGCAACAATCGCAATTGCTTTTCCTTGGGACTGTGGTAGGAGGCTGACTTAATACTGCAGTCCTTTTTTTCACTTCTTTCCCAGTGCAATGCTTTCCCCAGCAGAAAATCTTTTCCAAGAGATAAGAGGGAGAGGACCAAGTTCTGCTTAGCAGCCTCCTTTCTGTCCTCTTTTTATGTTTAAGGTGATGGGACGTATGACGCTTTTCTTTTTCTCCTTAATCTGCTTTTTGAGAAAGTTACAAGAAAAATTGGAGCAGGTTTTTCTGGCTGTGCTTTCACACCAAGCACAGGGACTTGTGATAGCAGACAGCAGCGTTTGTCCTGGAAATCAAATGCTGTTGCCAGGCCTTCATTTGAAGCTTTACAACTGAGTAGCTGGCAAACCCTATTCATAGAGAGGGACTTTCTTTATCAAGCTTGTGGATTTAAGAGTCCTGCACGTTAATTGCTTCTGTTACTTCATTAAGTCGCATCTGTGAAGAGGAGGCCATCTCCAAAGGACTGTGTCTATAGCAGTGCATCAGTTACTTTCTTTGTCTTGTTGATCTGTGGTGTGACCTAGGCAAAGGGGAGCACAGAGCAGTCTTACAAGTCAGTGGTGCTGTTCACTTTGGTGTTTTTGTTTTTTTTCTGCTGCCTCAATGGACTCTCTGTGCATGTAAAATGCACTTCAGTTGCAATGTATTTTGTAAAATTGGTCCTTTGTCCAGCTGGCCAGTACCTCACGAGTATTTCCAATATAAATACTAGTCGAGGTAATGGATTGTTCCTACTTGTACTTGGGATAGAGGAAAGAGCCCTGAAAGAAGGATTCTCGTGCGTTTTTCGACATGGAATTGAAGGCAGATAGTGAGTAACCAGCAGGAATTAATCAGAAAGATCAGGAACTGGCCCTTCAGGACCAGATTTGATGGCCACTATTCTGTTACATTTCTTGGAGGCAAGAATTACTTTCCTGTATTTCAAATCAAATTATGTAGTGGTTGGGAAATAGAGGGGAGAAGCGAAAAAGGATCATGTACCCTGCAAATAGATTACAGGCTGTGGAACCAAGGACCTCGAACTTTAGGGTTTTTTTGTTTTTACTAATTTCAGAAAGAAAAACTTGAGTTCTTTCTTTTTCCACACAGAGAAATGAGAAGCAACTTGGAAGAAAAGCAAGTCTATGATGGTTGGAGTCTTAAAATCCAAAATAAACTATATATGAAAAACTCCACCTCCATAGCAAAACATCTTCCAGGTCCAGGATCACTTTGTAATCATTAATACTTTAATTTATATGTTTATTTTCTGTTTTTGTTCCGCAGACTTTTAAAGAGGATAAGTACTTGAAAGATGCCATGGAGTGTAGCGACGTCATCTGGCAGAGAGGTTTACTGAGAAAAGGCTACGGGATCTGCCATGGTACTGCTGGCAATGGCTACTCCTTCTTGTCTCTCTATAACCTAACTCAGGACAAAAAGTACCTCTACCGAGCTTGCAAGGTGAGCTCTGCAGCATCCCAGCAAAGTCACTCGTCCCTTTCATGTGTTTCATGCACTTCCAACTCACACCTTTGGGTAGACGACTTCAGCTGTGTATGTGGGCACTTGCATCTTAGTACAAAGAGTGGTTGAAAAACCACACAAACGCACTTCGCTGTGCTGTAAATAGAGTCGGAGAATCAGCCAGCCTGAACAACAAGAGATGAATGTTACATGGTGCTAATTATTCCATTGAGAGATCCACTGTCATCCTCAGCTCCTCCAGCGATACTGTTAGTAGTCCTTTGTAATTATTTGTTTTCAGACTAGTGTCTGTTTGGGGCTTTCAGAGCTCTGAATTGCAGTTATTAAATTGCTCACTTAGGTTTTTTTCATTAATACAAATTGCAGAGAAAGACGCAGTCAAAATTTTTCCATTGGGAGCATCCAGGTTCTGCTATCAGCTCTCACTGTGCTAGCAATTGACAAAAGAAAAGGCTTTTTCTGCCTCTGTTTCCTGGTTTTTGGTTTTGTTTTGTTTTCTACTTAATTCATTGATAGTGGGTTTCATGCTGCATACATAGCTACTCAACTGAGGTCTATCTAAAGGTAGAGCAGTGGGAAGTTTGATGAGTTGCTTTCAAGGTGTTTTCAGATGAGTCACATGTAAAGCTAGTGCATTCACCTCTACTGTTAGCCTGTCCACCATCAGCAGAGCTTTACAAAGTGGCTGTTCCTGTCACCTTATGTTTACATGTGCGTCAATCTGTGGGGACACATGTATGCATACACGCATCCTGGAGAATGCGATAAGCCCCTAGTACTGCCACGGCAAATGTGTGACCTTGTTGTGTGTGAACTGATCCTCTGCTGATGTGTGAGCCACGCTACCAAGCACGCATTGCTTTCAGCACAACAGTTGGGCTCTCCCTGTCATCCTCCACTTCCATACATTTCCTGGGGCTCTGTGCAGCATTAGCAACTCCTGCTCACACTGCATTTCTTGCCCGGGGGAACCCTGTAGCTCTGTACAAAGCTAGAGGAGAGCAAGCATACCCGGATCAGAGCCAAAGAAGGAGGACACTCAGTTAGATACCTGAAATTCCTTTGAGGAGGAACATGTGGCAGTGAGCCAAAGGCTGTTTGCTGGAAGTGCCGAGCACAGTCGGGTCTGGCAGCACACTTGTTGCCATTCTGCATTTTAGCACCTGCAGTGTTCAGTCAGGCCCCCTAAGCTCTTGCAGGGAAAATCTTGAAATGGGCAGAGGAGTTTGTTGATCTTTGGCATTCTTGAAATCTTTTCTTTCTGAGACAGAGCATGCAGGGAAACAACCATGCTTGAGACAGAGCATCCAGGGAAACAAACGTGCTGCTGGCATCCTGGGCTCCAGAGAGCATCCAAGCCCCTCATTTTTATTTTTTTTTAATTTTTTTTTCCTTCTTTCAAGATAAACATTCAGAGGTCTGAAAGGCTGTTTCTCGATGGCAAGCTTGTTCAGCCTGTGTGACAAATAATGGCAGATGTCTTTGTACTAGAAGAGATTTCTTTTTCCTTGGTTTAACAAAGACATTAATATGGTTTATTGGATCTACAAGGTTTACCAAAGCTAAGGATTTATAAACAATGATTCGTTTAGTAGCCTGGGGATGCATTTTTGTAATTTCTGTTGAAGTTCCCAGGCTGGCAATAATAATTATAAAGGCTATTATGCAATAAGATGTGGATGTTGCAAGAATTGATTGTAGTTCAGAAACGTGCCATAGACACGTTCTGTCCTCACGTAAAAGAGAAGGCTACAAGTTTGGTTTGAAGATCTGTAGGGGGGCCCAAAATACTTCATCATTGCTCAATAACCGTGGACCACAGTGTTTGTGTTTGTGAGTTCATTGCTGGGTTTCCTCAAGACATTCTCACGTGGACACACCCACACTCACGTCCCAAGTGATGAAATCCATTCCCCAGTAAATACTTAAAGAGAACAGAGGGAGTGGGGCAAGATACCACTCTTTATCCTCCTGTTCAACAGCTGATGGTTCTGGGAGCCTATTCATATATCACATAGCTCCAACCGTGGAGCCTGAGCACCCTCTAGTGAGTACGATGAGCTGTGTTCTGTATCAGGCTCCCAAAATCACAGGGGAAGCAGGGAGAGTTCTCTTGGTTCTTTGCTCTGCAGGACTCTTGTGCTTTTAGCACCGTGTTTTGCATAAGCAGCGGTTTGCTTCCAGACACAGAAATGCCAGGGGAACGTGTGGGCCCTGTGCCTGCTCTGGGGAGCCATAAAGGAGAAATGGATTGTTGCTCTTAAATTGATCCAGATGGGGTTTGTAAGTAAGGTATGTCTAGTGGCTACTGCAGCAGCGCTGATCAAACACGAGAAAGACACTGTTAACTTGTTTTTAAAAGGTATTCCATCCTCTGCAACAAAATATTGACCACCATAATTGTCTAACTGTATTTATAACGATTTTTTGTGAGGCTTAGGGAGAGAAAATAGATAAAGCTAAGTAATGGCAGCTGGAGATTTAATACTCTAAATCAGTGCATGGAAGTGGAAGAAAACAAATGCAGTTAACAACTCTCAAGTCCTTAGGAGGTGGATAAATTAAGTGCCAACACAGATAGGAACTAATGTTACGGTATTAGAAAATTTCTGCCCTTGAAACTGTTCTTGCAGAGCTCTTCATTGATGTGTAGTGGGATTGTTTTTTTTTGTTTTGTTTTTTGTTTTTTTTTAAATCAGAATTAAGTACAACCCAACTAATTATGTTGTTGTGGAGCTGAAACTCCTGCTGTGGAAATACATATCCTAAAAAATAATTGCAGCCATGTCACGGTTGAAGTGAGACAAATTAATCTTGGATGGTGATTCCTGCATTGTTTCTCTGCTTACACTATTTTACATTTAGTAGCTATTAAAAGTGCCTCCCCATGCAGATATTTAAGCTTGTGTTTAGCAGTCTTAAGTTTAAAATAAATGAGCAAATATTTTATGTCTTCCACAGTTTGCCGAATGGTGTTTGGAATATGGTGCACACGGATGTCGTATTCCTGACAGACCTTATTCTCTCTTTGAAGGTAAGGTGATGGTATTGCAGATGGTGTTGTGTTGTATAGGATAGAAAGGATACCTTGCAGTTTTGGTACATGCTTGGGAGTTCAAAAATCTTGGGTAGTTCCTTTACTATTACAAAAAGAAAACCAAAAAAATGCCAGCACCTCCCTCCTCCAAAGGATTAAAAAAAAAAAAAAAAAAGCATCCCCTATCTCATGTCAAAACTTTCCCTTCTGGTTGCATTTCACCAGTTTGCAGTGTAAAGCCAGTGGCATTGTCATTCTTAAATAAAATTCTGCTGTGCTGATGGCCTTTCAGTTTAAACCAAATGAAAGTCCAGGCAACACTTCTGTGTTGGGGTATTGTCCAAGAGGGACAGGATAGAGGAGCAGCCATGGGCAGGGGGTCTCAGAGCAATTGCTGGCCTGAAGGAACTGGACCTTTGCTGCTGCAATAGTAACACAAGAAAAAGCTATTTTATAATATGAGCCAAGATCACCAGAACAAAAAGAGAAACGCAGAGTTCCTACGGGCCTTTCTGTAAATTTAAAGGTGTTCCTAAATCCTTTCCTAGAGCTTTGTATATTTTCATTTGTAGTTTATTTTCTATGTTCTATCTCATCCTGATGTTTTAGAAACGCAGGTAGCAAGGAATCGTACATAGAACAAGCAGGATTTCAAATAGTGCTGCTACTCTGAGAGCAGGAGCCTAGTGCGCCATCTATCACAAATACGTGAATTTACAGCAGACCAAGTAGGATTATTTTACAAGTAAACCAACCCGAGGCATAAATGCGAGACAGCAGTAGTTATAAGTAGTTATATGCAAAGAAAAAAATCCAAATACAGAGTTACTGTGTTAACGTTTATGAGAATGAAAAAGTACAAAGATTCTTATTCTTTGTAAGATATCCCTTCTATGCATTTATAGAAGAAAAAAAAACAGACACACAGTCTGTAGTACAAGAGCTTTGAAATTTGTTGAGGTGTACTAATGCCAACAATAGGCAGGGTGATATGTGCATTAATGCTGACACAGATTTTATTTTAGTTTTTCATGTCAGTGATTTTTTTCAAAAGATCTAGAAGCCTCAAATCTAAAACAAAAAAAAATCTGAATTTTGTTTGCCAAAAGTGTGCGTGAAGTTGTCCATTTCAGCACATGTGTGCATACGTGCACATTTTCATGGGAAGTTGCACATGGTTCTTATGGAACTGTCGTAATCACTTTGTTTCTATCAGATGCCTGTATTTAAGGAAAGCTCCTTTCTTTGTACGTGCTCAGCTGCTGATGCAGTAGGATCTTAGTGTGATAATAAAAATGAGCTTCCATTTGCATGCTGTCTTTCTGTAAGGTAGCTCACCCTAGTAGTTTGTCGCCCTGTGAGTTTTACAAGATGTTGCTGATGTTCGTGCTGCAGAGCCTGGATGCCCTCTTTATGAATAATGAACAAATGAATCAGTACATCACAGCAGTCGTAAATTGTGCCTTTGTTTTTTTTAACTAGTGAAATGACCAGTGAGAGCTGCTGAAATTATGAGACAGTCCAAATTGGCATTTACTTTTCCTGTAATTGAAGTAGTCTTGTAGTTGTGCCTCTGAAACAACAGCAGCAGAGAGAACTCTGCTACTGCCTCCATCTTTTTAAAATGAAACTTGATTTCCTAGGCAAACTACAGGTGAGCATCCCTTTCTAGAGGCCCTAAGTTCACCAGTTCAAAAAAGACCTCACAAGGTGCTAAGTTCAAACAGATGCGATTGCCTTTGTTATCAACTATGCTATTTCCATGTCCAGGATGCACAAAAATCTCTTTCTCATTATATTTTAGGAATGGCTGGAGCTATTCATTTCCTCTCAGATATTGCAGTACCGGAGACTTCCAGGTTTCCAGCGTTCGAACTTGGTCCTCAAAGGAGAGAAAACAAAGTGGAGCAGGACAGCTAAAAGATTCTTTTACAAGTAAACTTGATGCCAAAAGAGACAAGACTGTTTAGTGCCTCTGATACTGAACCAACTCGACCCTAGCTGACGGATGGATAAAAACCCCGTTTCTCACTTCCCCTGCCCCAAGGGACCGCGAAGTCATTAGCGCATGAATGAGAGAAGCCACCTCTAAGTTCTGTTAGTGACACCTTCACACGTAGGACAAGAGAAGTCAAATTTTGAACTTTCTCTCTTTCGTTGTATTTGTCTTCTCCGGGTCTTCGACATGCTCTGCATGTTTATTGGTGTTGTCTGTTGATTCGAGTCTTTTGTTGTTAGCAGAGAGCTGTTCTTTGTGTGAAGCTCTGTCCTGTACCTTTGTGCATGCAACACAACAGCACTGTCGCTGACCCCTAACAGCAGTGTTGCTTTCTGCAGTGTGGCTAGCCAGCGAGCTCCACTTCGCGCCAGAGAGTTCACTGTAAGACAGAGCCCAGCTTCACTGGTGAGCTGGCAGCTTCAAAACGATGAAGAAATTTTGTGTTCATAGTTTTCTGCGTTTTTCTCCATGGTCCCTAGAAGCTGAGGCAATGGAGATCAGCTTTACCTGGTGAAGTGGTGTGATGATTTTCAGGAGCGTGTCAGGTTGGAGAGGGCCTGAATTTTCTTTTGCCACTGATTTGGGAGGGTTTTTTGTTGCTTTTTTTTGTTGTTGTTGAAAACCTGAAAGAGCAGCTGCCTGCACCTGATTAGCGTGGTGGGCCCATAGTACAAGGAGATGCTCCGCATGGCGTGAGCTGAACAAACTGCAGGCAGAGTTATCTGTGCTTCCCCACTCATGTGCATGGGTTTGTAATACACCTCTCTCCAGCAGCACACAGTGTAGGAGAGTGGGAAGTCAGGGCTGTTTCTCATGCGGATAGCTCAGGACGGTAACTTGTTCCTGAACCAAGGAGGCGATTTGTTCTGGGCCCTCCCGTTCGTTTCCCGGCCCCATTGCATTTAGCCCATGTAATATGACAGGAGCAATAAATACCAGCTGCTTGTGGAGGCTGCAGAAGATTAATGAGCAATATGTAAGTCATTGCTAGAAGCTGTAATTGAAGTTATTTCAACTTAAAAGCAAGACAGAAAATGCCCTTTGCCCTTCGTTTTTGACTGTGCTGATAGTGCTTTGCTTCCCCCCGCGCTGTGCTGGCGTTGTGAAGCAGTGGGTCCTCTGTCTCTGCCAGCAAGGCGGTGCTCAGTTCTGCCTCCACCTGCTTGTATCAGTCCGGGAGGAGGAACGGAGCATGCTGTAAGTGCACTTACAGCATCTTCATGCTTTCCAGGTAATAAGTACGTGTTCTGTTTGAGAAAGGTAAGTAAGCAGAGCACTCTCTCACTCGCTCAAGCTCTGTTGTCGCTCTCCCTCTGCACCCTCTTGCCTTCCCCCCCAGACCCTCCTGTGTTGTGTCAGTCCAGCTGCTTATTTTAATTGGGACTTACATCAGGTGCAGATGTGACAGGTGGCTGAGACTCCGACCTTTCAGGTGCACGTACGTGACCTGAGGGACACATGCTGAGTGCCAGTGCTTGCGGTCAGGCTTGGACATGCTTTGTTGCACCTGCATAAAACTCTGGCAGGTAGCAGCTGACTTCCTTGAGCTTCGTCGTATCTGTTGCCAAAGCCATTGGGATGCTAATAATATTTTCAGGATTTGGTTCTGCTGTTGCAGTAGCAACAGTTCCAGTGCTGGGAGAGCGTAAAAGTCACAGTGTAGCTCCTCTGCTGATTTGTCAAACAAAAAATGGAGCAGGGGCGGGATTTTTCCACCCCTCTGGCAAAGGGTAGGAGTTGGTGGGGGGCACTGAACCCAGCTGCATCTGCCCAGCCAAGCAGGAGGGAAATTGCTGAAAGGCAGTGGAAAGGAAGGGAACTGCACGGCGAGCAGCTGTGGTGAAATGTACCTGAGCAGAGAGGCAGAAAGTGGTGGGATCAGAGCGGAACAGGAGGGATTGGTTACGGGAGGTAATGCACAGAGCATGCCAGCAGAGGCCAGCTCAAATGAAGTATTCTGCCCTGGCAAGCGTGCTGAGGTCTAACGCTGTATTTCTTTCTTCATCCTGTGGCTTACTGCTCCTCCTGGTAGCTGTTTCGTGTCCATGGAGGAACCTGGCCCAGGGTAACGTCTCAGAAATCCTAACAAAAGCAGACATGGAGGTAGAAGGCAGCCCTGAATTTCTGTTCTGCATCCCCACTCCTTTTTCCTTCTTCTCTGCAAATGCAGAACATGCCAGGTGGGTTAAGAAGGAAGGGTGCATCCCTTTGGCAGGTCTGCAGGACCCTCCTGCAAACACAGAAGCCACCAGCCATCCTGGTAGAGCTTGGACTGACACTTGAAGGAGGTAATTTTGGCTAGCTGGAACCCAAGAAGAATTAAAATTTAGTCTGGCTTTAAAAAAAAATGTATGTATAGGTACATGCACCCTTAAAACTGCTTAATGCTGAGCAGATCCTGGAGGTGCTTGAGTGCACCAGTGGATGTAATGAGCAAATCCAGCGCTAGCTCTTTCTGTACCATAGCCAGCCTTTGGCTGGGGTGAGGCCCAGCACCGTCCTTCTCCACAGAATCACCCTGGAATTGAGTAAGCCTGGAAATGTCTCACATCAGGAAGCTTACGACTGCGTCTGCCTTGTCTTCCTGACGGGACTTTCCCCGTGGCTCCTCCTCTCTGTTTGTTACAGCTTCGTGATACACAGGTGGCCCATTAAAATATTGTGTGAATGAGTGAAAAAATGCATTTCACCAAGACACTGTTTTCAGAAATCACATCAAACTAAAATGTGGAAACTGTCTTAATATTCCCTGGTTTGCTTTGTCCGTGTGTAGTAGTCCATCTGGTGCAAAAAAGCAGTAATGTTAAAAATGGAGATGCTCTTTAGGCAGAAAAAGAAGAAAAATGCTGATGTTTCGTTCTTTGGCTTTATTAGTAAAGATCAAGTTGTGTGGTGGTAATCTGTGTGCAGTTATTTTTTTGGTGCTGTGCACCTTCCTTCCCTCCCGCGCTGTGGTGTTTGAGAGTTGTTCCCCTGCTGGGATTGCTGAGTTGCCTCCTGATTTCATAGTCCTGCAGGATGGAATGGAGAGGCCAGAATATGGGCAAATCTTTTTCAACCTTCACTTTTTATTACTGCTGAAGGCCTCTTTGCTGTCATTTCTCGTGGGTGATTTTAGTCTGGATTGCGTAGTACCTGCGTGCAACGTTTGCTTTCCCCCCTGGTCAGACAGGTCCCGTTGAATGGTTTGCAGCTGCAGCTTTACTTGGGACTGATTTCAAGCGCACATACATGAAACCTCTCTGCTCAGCTGACTAACATCTGCTTTCCAGCTTTAAGACAGGTTGAGGTTTTCCTCTAGGTAGGATTTAACAGAATTAAACTTGAAGTGCACTGCAGTATATGTACAACAGTATTTCTGTTTCAGAAAGCCACTTTATAGCCCTCCTTCCCACTGAGAGCGACTGCTTTTTCTTTTGTTCTCTATTTAATAGCATTATTTCTGATCAGTAGGTAGAGGCCTGATCTGTACAAATTTATTTTCCTTCCTCTTGAGGAAGCTGTACCTTGAAATATTAGAGAAGCCCTCCATACATGCATGTAGTAGTTTTTAACCACCAAAGTGCTGTTTTCAGACAGTGAAGTGTAAGGTAGGAGAGGTGGGAGGAAACCTTTCTGCTGTGCCTCAAGTACTAGCTAAGCAGCGGTGTGCTGCCTGAGCCACGTTGTGTCAGGGTGGTTTGACACAGCAGTCTGCTTTTCCTGGCCAAATCGTTCACTTTCTGCCCATTTGCTTTCATTTGTTTCACTGATCTACAGACGCGGAGCGACCACAGTTTGCACGCAGGGAGCGTCAGTGACCGGAGCTCAGCCACTGCTGCTCCTCCACAGCTGTAAGCCCACCTGTAAGCCATGAGATGAGCGAGGGCTAGGCAGCAGGAGGTAGAAAAACACCCCTATTCCTCTGACTTTCTGCGCTGCACAGAGCCAAAACAACACACAGGTGCAGCCAAGGGGCTGAGGGCTGCTTGTGCCTGTGCCTCTGCTGTCTCCAGACACGTCCCTTTTCCCTTGCTGCACCCAGCAGCTTGGGACAGTGGCTACCAGTTGCACATCTCAGAGTTTTATTAGTAAATAATAGCATTATTATTTACTAATTGCTTTGGAGTAATTGCCTTGTGCTGGCTCTTCCCTTGCATGCTGTCTCTAGTAGCTTCCCTCTCATCTGTAGGATCCCCTACAGGGCATCAGGGGGGCCCACAGCCACAGGGCTGGCGAAGATCCTGGCCAGGTCTCTTACCCATCGGATTAGCAGCGATGTGTTTCAGATAGATAAAACAGAACTGTTAGATAATCCACTATCTGGCAAGGTGTCTGCCAAAACGTGGCTGCTTGTGTGTATGCATGTAAAGCCGAGCCATCTGTTTACTTGCTGTACGCAGGGAAGAAAGAGCAATACATTCTTTGCTCCTTAGTCTCCAGCCTGTGTGGTACACATTGTTGGAAAAAGATGTAGTCCCAGCTGTTTGTTTTCACAGCAGCGTAAACTGTCATAGGGCTTAAAAGAAAGAAAAGAGCAAAACACCACCCCCAAAACAAAAAAGCTTGTCATGTTATCGTTTTCCTGATGTGATAATGAGGCAGGAACAGCTGCAAGGCAGGGGCTGGTGGGAGCCCAAACAGAAAGGGCAGGGTTGGTGCCATCCTTGTCAAACCGGGTCCTATTTGTAGCACAACTGATTAGTCAGCTTGCTAATTATTGGGCCAGAAGGAAGCGTCTGCATTGTGCTGTAGGTGAAGTTTGCCCTTCTGCCAGCAACGAGGTGCTCGGTCACACCAGAAAGGAGGAGGCTGAGAGGAGAGGCACGAATGCACGCACAAATAATCCCACAGGTCAAGAAGCATCAGTGGCCACTCAGCTGCTGCGCTGACTGCTGGTGATGAGGAATGAGTGACTCCCTAAAGCAGTAAGCCAGGTCTGCACAGCACTCACTGCATTTCACCTGCTGCACTTCACCAGCAATTCCTTATTTTGTCTCCAGACAGTGACCAGAAAGCATAACAACTGCTCTCATATATGAGTGGCTGTGGTTTTTTGCCACTTGCTTGTGCTGGTATAAATCAGAAGAATAGCAGAAATTGTGCCCGAAGGGTGAAGGTTATTATCCAGCAGCTTAATTGTTATTAAGCTTTTTGGGTGATGTGGGAGGAGGATGTGAGCTGAGTGGAAAGGGAAGTGCTGCCTGAGAGCAGCAGCATAAATGTTAAGCCTTGCCTTGCTCCTCATCAGCCCTGAGGTGCTCTGGCCACAGCCAGCTCTTACCTTCGGCGTGAGCCTGAAGAAGTTTGTCCGGTGTCGACAGAGGCTGAAGGGGGAGCTTCAGCCTGTCTGCTGAAAGCAGCACTCAGGGCTGGTTTTCTTCTGATGGGAGAAATGAGCGAGGCATCAGCCTCCTGCTGTGGAGATGTGCAGCACAAACAAAAGGGGAAAATATCCTGAAGAAAATCCTGTCCTCTAGAGGACAGAATTGGGGTTGGTTTTCGGCCCAAACTGAGCAGTGAGCGCTGGGCCTGCAGTGCATGGGCAGGCAGCGCACTGCCAGCTCCCTGGTGCTGCCTGCATCCATCACAACAGAGGTGAGGGGAGGCACAGGGTGCCTACAGACCCTCCTCGCCCTCCAGCTTGCCCCCTAAACCACAGCCTAAGACGGTCTCTTCTGCCAAAGAGCACATTTCTAGAGCGGGGAGCAGCCTGCCCCAAGTGCTGCCCTTAGCAGTCATCAGGCAGCTCATCCATTAACATAATCCAAAACAAAACCCCAGGTGTCTGTAGCCAAACCTGGCCTAAAGCAATGACCTGAAAGATGCTCAAGAAAGGAGCTCATCCCAGGGGAGCAGACCCCCTGTACACACACATGCACCTCAAAGCCCATTTTTCCAACCAAGCCAATTGATGAGGGACACGGGGTTTTTTTGAAACTCCTGAGGTCAGGGAGCTGTGCTGGGTGGGTAAGGAGATGGCTCCTCCCTGCTCGGAGCCTAAGAAATGGTGCAAAGAGAAACACAGTGACCATACCTGGGGGCATGAGCTGCACTCAGCGATCACAGCATCGAGGTTGCGTTTGTGAAGAATTAGCCCTGCCTCCTCTCCTGCTTGCTACATGAGAGATCACAGAATCACAGAATTTCTAGGTTGGAAGAGACCTCAAGATCATCGAGTCCAACCTCTAACCTAACACTAACAGTCCCCACTAAACCATATCCCTAAGCTCTACATCTAAACGTTTTTTAAAGACTTCCAGGGATGATGACTCCACCACTTCCCTGGGCAGCCTGTTCCAGTGTCTAACAACCCTTTCGGTAAAGAATGATGCTTTTAATCTGCTCATTAATATAAACAGCCTTAAAAATACACCTCAGGAAAGAGCAGTGAAAATGGTTAGAGGTATTGCAACATCTAAACTTACTTGGAAAACAAACAAAACCATTTCAAAAGAAAACCTGCACAAGTTTTCAGAGCAGTAGAAGCCTGGACTGTCGAAAGGCCAAGCTCTGCTCCAGCCCACCAACCCAGCTTTTTTTGCTAAGCATGCAATACACGTACCTGAGCCACTTCACATTGTTGATATGAGCCTGCAAAAAGTTACAGGGCTTCTCCCTTCTTTCTCTGTCACCATTTTTTCCATCTAACATAAATAAAAGATAAGGGAAAGGGGGATAAGAGGAAACCTAAACACTTCCAAAGGCAAAGCAACAAGAGGAAAGGCATGTGAACAGCCTGCAAGTAATTCACAGGGATGCCCACACTGGTCCTGGCTTTCAAGAGAAGACCAAGCAGTTCTGCTGGAAGAGAAGCGTGTATCTTCTAACAGGCAGTGTGATCCACCAGCGCTCACAAATAGAGCAACCAGGCTTCAGGAAAACTTCACCAGGAGTGGAACTTCAATGCACAGCATCAGACATCGCTATAAAAGGTTTCTACTCCACGTTATCAAGAAGACATCTATTCTCAGAGGTACATTTAATGATATAAAACAACTCAGTATCTGCTAACATCACAAGTCTGTTGTCATTCTACTGACAGAAAATGAAATGTTGGATTTAAAATATAGAGAGTCTACACAACCCTAGTGACATACAGAGCTTTACATTTTGAAGAAAAATTTATAACTATGTATATAATTATGGCATGCACAACCATGTGATGGACCTTATGTACAAAATGTACCTTTTCCTACCTTAAGTGTCCACTGAGCCTACACTGCAGATGCAGAAGCAAAAGCTTCATCCCTTATGATGCAGAAAGGGAAAACATTTTACTATCAAAATGTATCTGAAAAGTGTTTCTGCACTGCCTCGGGTTCATCGCAAGGGTGAGCAGAGGAGGTTCTCCAGCCTGCAATATAGCAGGGATGAGGCGAGGTGAGCCCAAGAGCTCTCTGAGCAGCACTGCGATAGGAGAGGGGAATTCACAGCTCTGCCCATTCCTTCTCCTCCTCCCATGCACGATGAAGTTCAAGCAGAAAACGCTGATATTAGCTAGGAAAATCAAAGCGTTCACTTGTCAGGCAGCTGTCTCCAGGTGTTTACATGAAAAACTGGCATTTGACCCGAGAAACCATTTCCCTGTTTCACAACTTCAAATGAGAGAGCCAAGTGACTGGAAAACAGCTCTGCCTATCGAAACACCTGCAATGACAGAAAGGTTATCCAATATTTGGCTCTAGGTACACCATTTGCTCCCATCAGCTCTGGGAAACTCAGATTTTTGTCCTTCCCAGGTTCCCTGTTAATAACTTTCCAGTCAGAAGGCTCACCCAGCCTGCCTGCATTTCTTCATTTGGAAGTGCAGTGAAAGAGAACAATGAAATAGTCTTAGAAAGTGGATGGCTGAATTGTAATCCATAAAGCACTCTCTGTAACAATAAGCAAGAGAACAGGGCAAACTTCTTTCTGGAA